TTCATTCATTCATTTCATTTCATTTAATTTCATTTCATTTCATTTCATTTCAATTCATTTCGTTTCAATTCATTCATTCATTCATTTCATTCATTCATTCATTCATTCATTCATTTCATTCATTCATTCATTCATTTCATGTCATTTCATTTCATTTCATTCACTTCATTCATTTCATTCATTCATTTCATTCATTCATTCATTCATTCATTCATTTCATTCATTCATTCATTCATTCATTTCATTCATTCATTCATTCATTTCATGTCATTTCATTTCATTTCATTTCATTCACTTCATTCATTTCATTCATTCATTCATTCATTCATTCATTCATTCATTTCCTTCATTTCATTCATTCATTCATTCATTCATTTCATTCATTCATTCATTCATTCATTCATTTCATTCATTCATTCATTCATTTCATTCATTCATTTCATTCATTCATTCATTTCATGTCATTTCATTTCATTTCATTTCATTTCATTTCATTCATTCACTCATTCATTCATTCATTCATTCATTCATTCATTTCATTCATTTCATTCATTTCATTCATTTCATTCATTCATTCATTCATTTCATTTCATTTCATTCATTTCATTCATTTCATTCATTCATTTCATTTCATTTCATTTCATTCATTCATTCATTCATTTCATTCATTCATTCATTCATTTCATGTCATTTCATTTCATTTCATTTCATTCGCTTCATTCATTTCATTCATTCATTCATTCATTCATTCATTCATTCCCTTCATTTCATTCATTCATTCATTCATTTCATTTCATTTCATTTCATTCAATTTCATTTCATTTCATTTCATTTTCATTTCAATTCATTCATTTCATTCATTCATTCATTTCATTTCATTTCATTTAATTTCATTTCATTTCATTTCATTTCATTTCAATTCATTCATTCATTTCATTCATTCATTCATTCATTCATTCATTTCATTCATTCATTCATTCAATCATTCATTCATTCATTTCATTTCATTTCATTCATTCATTCATTCCATTTCATTTCATTTCATTTCAATTCATTCATTCATTCATTCATTTCATTCATTCATTCATTCATTCATTCATTCATTCATTCATTTCATTCATTCATTCATTCATTTCATGTCATTTCATTTCATTTCATTTCATTCACTTCATTCATTTCATTCATTCATTCATTCATTCATTCATTCATTCATTCATTTCCTTCATTTCATTCATTCATTCATTCATTTCATTTCATTTCATTTCATTCAATTTCATTTCATTTCATTTCATTTTCATTTCAATTCATTCATTTCATTCATTCATTCATTCATTCATTCATTCATTCATTCATTCATTCATTTCATTCATTCATTCATTCATTTCATTCATTCATTTCATTCATTCATTCATTCATTCATTCATTTCATTTCATTTCATTTCATTTTCATTTCAATTCATTTCATTCATTTCAATTCATTCATTCATTCATGCATTGCATGTCATTCAATTTCAATTCATTCATTTCATTCATTCATTCATTCATTCATTTCATTCATTCATTTCATTCATTCATTCATTCATTTCATTCATTCATTCATTTATTTCATTTCATTCATTTCATTCATTTCATTCATTTCATTCATTTCATTCATTCCATTCATTCCATTCATTCAATCATTCATTTCATTCATTCATTCATTCATTTATTCATTCATTCATTTTCATTCATTCATTTATTCATTTATTTCATTCATTCATTTATTCATTTCATTCATTCATTCATTCACTTCATTCATTCATTCATTCCATTCATTCATTCATTCATTCATTTCATTTCATTTCATTTCATTTCATTCATTCATTCATTCATTCATTCATCCATTCATTCCATTCATTCCATTCATTCCATTCATTTCATTCATTTCATTCATTTCATTCATTTCATTCATTTCATTCATTCCATTCATTCCATTCATTCCATTCATTCCATTCATTCCATTCATTCCATTCATTCCATTCATTCCATTCATTCATTCATTCATTCATTCATTCATGCATTCCATTCATTCCATTCATTCATTCCATTCATTCAATCATTCAATCATTCATTCATTCATTCATACATTCATTCATTCATTCATACATTCATTCATTCATTCATTCAATCTTTCATTCATTCATTCATTCATTGATTCACCGATTCATTCATTTATTGATTGATTCATTGATTCATTGATTCATTGATTCATTGGTTGATTCATTGATTCATTCATTCATTCATTCCTTCCATTCCCTTCCCTTCCATTCCATTCCATTCCATTCCATTCCATTCCATTCCAATTCATTCCATTCATTCCATTCATTCCATTCATTCCGTTCATTCCGTTCATTCCATTCATTCCATTCATTCCATTCATTCCATTCATTCCATTCATTCCATTCATTCCATTCATTCCATTCATTCCATTCATTCCATTCATTCCTTTCATTCCATTCAT